GAAAACAACGGTTTAAATCGTAGCCTGGCTCTGGTTTAGTCTCCTATTATAGCTTTTTCATTACAAATTCAAATAGCAAACATAAAATGGACAAAATTGAGCATTTTAAAACCAAATAATTCAAATCCAATTAACCTACCCCATCAGAGGTTAAATTGCTTCCCATTTCCACTCTGTTCACAACCACAAATGAAACTGGGCAGGACAAGAAGATTTGCTTAAATGACAGGAAATTGACTGATGCTAGTTTAAAAAAAAAAAGAAGAAAAAAGGTAAACAGCTTTCCCCTTTTCAAAGTAAAATAAATGGGAGTAGCAACATTACATTCTCTGACAAGTGTAGATCATTTATTAGCTGGTGGTCCAGTGATGTCGAATCAAGCAGTCCTTCCATTTTTCCAGAGTATCATAGACACTGAAAAGTGAGTCTTTACTCAGAAGAAAACATCTGCCAATGTACTGTTGGCCTAATGAGCCATTAAGAAACATGCCCTCGCCACCAAAAATGCAATTAGCACATTCTATTATAAGCCCTTAATTATGGTAATACGCTAATCTTAAACAAATCCACGGCATGCTGATTACTGCAGCTCGCCAGTTCAGTCTGTCTGTCCAAGGATCAGCAGGTACTAGCCAGGTCAGTCACTGGGACAATTTCAGAGAAAATGTTGAATATGCATCTGCTGCAGACAATCAGCAGTGGGATGTTAATTTGGGTTAAGATAGTAGCATTTGGATTAGCTGAATGACAAGTTTAATGAGGATGCTTATGCTCTAGTCAATCATCTTCTGCACCAACCCGTTTATCCCCTTGTTAATCACATCCAAATGTTTGAGACTTCTTTAATAAAATGGGATTCGAGTCAAAGGCTCTTGTCCAATTAGCCCACCTTGACCTTCCACCCAACCAGTGGGGTTTGCATACATGGAAACTGCCACCCAAAGTATGCAGAAGACAAGAGCATCCTAATGAAAACAACCTGCAGCAACCTAGTTAAGACGTAGCGCCCGAGGGTAACTGGGACGCCCGTCCATCTCCCTCGCTTTCACACACATCCACATCGTCTACATGGCCTGACCCCAACCCTGCAGGTCATTTCTATAAATGCATTACTGAAGCCAGCTGCTGCTGCTGCTACAGCCTGCAGTGCCTTAAAACCCACAATTGGATTGAGGAATTCATGGTTTTCCCTCTTTTCTTTTAGGTTTAGCTTTTTTCTCCCTTCCATCAGCTTCAAACAGGCAATCTACTCAGCGAGAGCTACCCCATCCGTCTCTCCCCTACAGTGTGCCTCTATGGTTACAGCAAGTAAAGTGGGTGACTGCTGGACTAAAAGTGTTATTTTTAAATTGACAGAGTAACATCGTACTTAGACACAGACAAAGCCTGTTTTTCATTCCCATTTTTTTCATACCACTTTCTCTTCTCTTTACCTTCCCATCGTTTTCTGAAACATCGGCGCAAGCCTGCAAATTTCTCTTGGACCTGTATTTGGTGTGGAGATGTGTGGAGATGAGCACGAGCAATTACAGAAGTTCCCGGTGAAACTGAACGAGAGCGGAGTGGCAGCACGCTCTGCTTTGGGCACGGCCACCCCTCCAGCGCCACACTCTGGACAAACCAAGACAAAATCTTTCCTCCGACTAATTTCCGTGGCCACTAAACACAGTTCCAGGATGGGTTTGGAATGAGTCGGCGATTATTTGTGAAATGGAGAGGGGGATGTCTGTTGAGGGCTGGAGTGTGGCTGGATATGAGGAGAGCCTGATGAATTTCCCTCCTCAGCAGGGTACTGTATGAGAAGATTGGCAGCACGGGCAGGGGCCTTGCGGCTCATTTCTTTCTGCTAACTGCTACTGCTGCACTACAGCTCAGAATCCCACTGCAGAACCAAATCGATCGCTCCTGTGGCGGCAGCAGGAATTGGATAAAAGGATCCTGCCGGCATCCGGCCGGCGCCTGCCCTAGCAGGGAGAGCTAATGGCTGAATCCAGGCCCTGGTCACAGCACACAGGGAGGGGGGCAGGGGCTAGCAGAATCATAGTCATTACCACAGCAGCACATGCCCTCTCTTCACTCACGCGCCTGCGATTCTCTACTCCTCAGGCCTTCCTGGCCAGGGTCACTAATCAATGCCCACACTCTGGAGTCACACCTCCTGATCACAGCTTAACACAGAGCTGAAGGCTGCAACAACATACTGCTCTGGGCAGGCATGGCTGTGTAGCCATTTCACTGCAGAACATTCTTCTTTTTCTAATGCACTTAGAACTTAAGGTGTGCAAGTAATTCAATACAGACAATCCAGATGTGCGAATAGTCAATACCAGCTTAAAAAAAAAAACAGCTGACCTTTTTGGTGAGGCAGTCATCAGAATCAGATGGCATACGCGTTGAGACGTGGAAAATGACTTCCACAGTGGAGGTAGCATAATAAGGAGCCGTTAGACCTGTGCTGCCATTCCTCTGGAGCCCGCCCATAAAGCCACAGTGCGTGGCTAGGTCCACCTGAAACGTACAAGCAAAAGTTGCTCTTTTGTACAACTTTGTGCAAACACGAATGCAAAGATTTGATTTAAAGTGGTTTGCACCTCCCATCCCAGTCCAGATACAAAGTCTTCATAGTCCTGGCTTCCTGCGCTGTTAGACAAAATGGAGCACTTGTCTTCTTGGCCTTCTCCGATGTAGAACACGGCAATCTTGTGCGTCTCTCGGCTACAGAACAACAACAAAAAATAAAAAGCAGCCGGCATTAAAAGAACGACAGCTACACTAACCAGTTTAACAGTTGTAACACAACTTGAAAAGCCTTTAACTACTTGAGCTGCTCTGGATGAAATGCTTGGACTACACCTCGCTAATCAAGGTAAATTGTGTCATTGAATTAATGAATAAAAATCTCAAGCACAGAGGGGAAAAAAATGTTTATCTCCAAAAAGCCGTCTGCTATCTCTCCATCAGCTTTAACATCATGATAAAAAAAAAAGAAGAAGAAGAATGGCAGCAAAGCCCCCCCATCCTACTTTCCCTGTTGCCATGGCAGTACATTGTGCTGGAGTACATTTAGGAGACTTTGCATGATTGCGCACAGGTTGTTATTGTCCAACCAAGTCTACGTCTGGGAGAAAACGGTCCACTTCTGAGGGCATTATTTTATAACCTCCTGTCATTAGCAATGTGTGGAGCACTAATTGATTGGACTACGAGAGTCCAGTAAGAACGATAAGAACAGGACGGAGAGAGTGATGGAGGGAGACTTCCAGGGCTGTGCTCAGCAGGAGTTGGCACAGATTAGGAAATTCATGGAGGAAGGGAGCACTGCCGTGTTGAAAAACTGGACCGCTCGCAGGACATGCAAAGAGTTAATTTTACTCATTCAGAAACATGTTTATGGGCGATCAGGAAAACACAATACATTACAGACAACACTACAAGATGATACAAAACTCCCAAGTGAACTTTACCACTGCCTGGAGTCCAAGTTCTTCAGTTCCCGTAAGAGTTTAGAGTTTTTCTTCAGCAAATGGAAGCTTTTCCTGTTGAACAACAACAAGTCTTGATTAGATTAGACATGAGGATTTTAATCTGAAACTAAAACTGCCATCAGCGGCTTAAATCATCACAAAGAAAATAAGTGTTAAACCAAAGTTTTGTTTTGCAGATCTGATGACCAAGGACCAGAAAAAACAGGCACAGGTGCGAGCCACAATCTCCTCTTGTTGTGTGCACGTTACACCATCACCATTAAGAGGTGTAAGCTTTTAATTTAGGGGGCAGAACAGCAAAGATGAGGCTCTGCAAGCTAGACCTTAGTGAAAACAGCTGGGCACTCTTATCCTGTGGAGAGGAGATTAAGACACTGCGGACTCCAATGTGCCTTTAAATTCATCCTTTCTCTCTTTGAGTAACAAGCCAACAGCTGAGTTACTTTGAAGATGAAGAAAGTGACTTGGTGTCAGACTTAACAAGAGGATGTGTCTCCTTCTTTCTCTCTGATTGCCTGCATTTAATGTGTTGTTTTTAGACTAGTGACCAATAAGTAACACTGACTTCTCTTAAAACCCCACTTTCCTCTATTTGTTTCTTTCAGTAAAGAGCAGGCTATTTTCAGTCTGTCTGTAATACCTGCGATCCCAAGAGTTCATCCCAAGATCATTAAGCAGCAGCCGGCAGAAGTAAAAAGGAGCTTTTGGTTCCTGGTGGGACGGTTCGCTCTGGCAGTCCGCCCGAAAGCTTACATCAGCCTCCCACCTCCTCACTTGCTCCTCCTCCTGCTGAGTCTGGCGATGAATGGCTTCCAGGATGGCGTTCTCTTGCTCTAGGTTCATCCCGTGTGGCGACGCGGCCGGCTGGTTAAGCTTAAGTCGTGGCTGGGGAAGACATTCTGGGCTGCTGTGTCCGAGGTCGTCCAAAAGCTTATCGAGAACATCAAACTCATCCTCCTCACAGGAGTTTGAGAGGCAATCGGAGCCTGAGCGATGACGCTTGTGCGGTCCTGCTACTGGGGAGGGGGGCGGGTTTCTGCTGTGGTTGACTGCAGAAAGCGAAGGGTCGACTGGTTTAAAGGCTCCCACGTCAAAGTCTTCATGTGCGGTGCAGTAGAGGATGGCACCATCCCACGAGTACTTGCCCGAGATGTCCCGGACAATGACGCGCACTTGGGAGGAAGTGTGCAGGGGCTGTCCGACGGTGGGGGTCTCGGCAGGGATCTGCAGGTAGGACACCAGCGTGCTGTCGTTGAAGACAAAAAGCTGCAGGTTGGGGCTTTTGAAGACCTCGGAGGACAGCTCGGACGACTCCACGTACGGGTTGTCGTGATTTTCGCTCACGAGGCTGTGGAGGAGAGCGGGGCCGCCGCTCAGGGGATGATGGCCCAAATGGTTCACGAGGTGTGTCATGACCATCCGTGCCGTCAGTGGGATCAGCTCCATGTTGCGGCGACGCTTTTCTGGTGGGAGAAAAAGGATGGGAGGATGAAAAAAATAAAAAATACAAGCAAGCAAGTGTAACACATGATCAATAGTAAAATGACCAATGGGTTTAGAACACGGCTGCACTCAGGGCTGTCTTTTATAATATGTTCAATGTAGACTTTAACAATATTTAAAAAGCTCCACATTTGTGTGTCGACATGTTACACTCTTTATTAGCTCCTTTTACACAAACCCAAATCTGATTCATGATTACTAATAGGGCTACTTTATTCATTTCTCACAATAGCTTAGCTAGCACACCTCTAAGTAGGTAGCATCTAATCATAAGAGACAACTTTGAAAAGCCCATTGAGTCTTCTTACAATGGACAACCATCGAGACTGGCCAAGTGCTAATGAGAACCACCATCTTTGCAGACTGCTGAATAGAATTGTACTTTGCAGATTGCATTTATGTAAATGTACAGGTTTTTACTCCCAAGTGAAAGGCATGCCGTGCTTTATTCTGCAGGGATGTGGGAAAAACAAGAAGATGCACTCTTGCATTGTGACAGTGCTATCAATACCATCATCCCCCATCAAAGTGGAGAAAGCTCTTTAGAAAGCAGGCCAAGCTGCATTAGAGATGCACTGGCCCTTTGATGTGACTTGATCAATATGAGGTGAGGGCATGAATATAACTAGGCCGGCACTCTTTGGTTTGCCCTTTTGATAGTGTTTTGTTATTTCAACCAAGACTCTGTGCAGCTGTGCACCAAAAAAAAAAAAAAGAATGGAAAAAAAGCAGAGGTGTGATGAAATTTTCAAGACAAAAGCTTCTGTTTGAATTTCTTACATTGTTTCAGGAGACATTCACATTGTGCATTTGGGCTTTGAGGACTTTTTCGACGTTGAGGACGCGAGAGAGAAAGAGGAATATATTGCCTAATGGAATCACAAGGTCACAAAAAAGATTTTTTTTTTTAAATCCAAACCCCATAATGGGTCTTCTCTTAGGGCTGAGTACTAATGTGAACATTCCATTCCCTGTGATGGTTGATTTCCTTTTTATACTTTTAATAAGATATTGACATTTAATGGAGAAGCTCCAAATGGATGGCCTACTTAGAGTTTGCTTTTACCTGTTTTGGATGATTTTTTGTGGGGGTGGGAGGGTGGGGGCAGACAGGGTAGAGAGTTTGGCTCCATATTCTGGGAGCGATAATATAGGAACTATAAAATATAGAGCTGGCAGCAGTATCCAAAACATTACGACGCAGCAGCTGGCATCAAGTACTAACTGGCTTTTAACCCTCCTATGTAAACCTATGTACATACTAACACATACTATATAACAATTAACACTTAATGACCTTTTTATGCAGTGCGATCTTTCTCAAAACAGATTCAGATTTAGGAAATGACATTTTCCTGCCCTTACCCTCAGCCACAGTGAGTAGGTTGCCTAAGTCCATGGGTGTCTGTGACGGGGGTGGCTCGCAACGCTTAACCTGACCCAGCATGAGGTCATAGTCACTGGACAAGTCAGACAGGGTGAGCAGATAGTGGCTCTGCTGGGTGTGCAGGTTGGACCCAGCCACACAGCAGTGCAGCACCTGAGGAACGAGAGCGGAAGAGCAAAAATGTAGTGATTATTTGGCATGCATGGGTTGTTTTGCTACAGTACTTTGTAGAGACACCCCAAACACCCTGCAATACCATAATATTACTACACTTAACGCACAACATTACTGGAATCACCTTTTTCAAACTGCAAATGATGTCCTCAAAGTCAAACTTTGTCTTTAATCAGATAAGATAAGAGACTGCAGTCGGCAACTACATGCCAACAGTTTTATATTTCTTAGAATTCAGCAATTAACTGCAATAAATTGCTGAAAATCACATTTATTGCCATCTACGTAGACAGAAATTCTCTTTTAACAGAAATTGATATTTTACTATTACATTTGTGCTCAGCAACCTTCCTGCTCCAGTATAACCAGATTACAGGCAGCTGGCAGCCAGTTGAGTCAAGACTCCTTAAGTTTTGCTCATTGACTCATTCATACTGATGGCAACATGTCAGCAATCTGTCTACATAAACAGTGTAGTGATTTATGGTAGTGATTGGGCTCAGTCTAAATCAGACTGCAACTGTTTGCAGCAAGGTTGCCTCCTATCAGGTGACTTGCGAGTGACTGAGCAACACCGACCTCACTCCAGGCAACCATTTAGTCACCACAAATTGCAACTGGTTGCAGAAAAAGGAGGTCGCTGTCCTACTTTCACTCGTGTGAATGAGCCATTAGCGTGCTTTGAATTTGGAGACAACTTGGTCAAGATAAAGCATAATTTATGGTCCTGCTAATGTGTCCATCTACACATTTGAGTTCGAAGAGGGAAATGCAACATGTGCTCCAAAGATCCTGACTGAGCACCGCTGATGAAAGTGTCTTATTAATGTTCTGCCGGAGGTTTCTTCCTGTTAAAAGGGAGTTTTTCCTTCCCACTGT